CAAGCTGTTATGAGCTATACTTTGGTTTCTAAGCCTTTTTGACAAAATGGTGCATTTAATAATTTTTCTATGATTCAGTTTCAGCAAGTGACAGCCTCTTCTATTGCATCCCCAGGTTACAATCTCTTGATCTTATAAATAACACTAATAAATATTTCTTGTAGTTCATAATTGATGCAGTTTTAAATTAAGATATTGCAATTATGATAAAGACTTTTGCAAATGTCTTTTTCATTGGCCTATTCCTTGTGAAGATGGTAATGCAAAGGGTGCTCTCTGCAGCACTGCTTTACAGGGAGTACTGAAAGCAAGTAACCTGCTTATCAGAAAGTGCAGCTGCTGATGCCACTAGGTAAACTGATCCCAGGGATGGACAGCATGCATACATGACACCAGGGGGACAGCTAGATGGTGGCCCCACATTATTGCTTTTTTTGAGTCTTGAATGTTCTGAAAAAGGGCTGTATTTTGCTTATTATTGCACTTAACTTTCCAATCAAATGTGTATTCACTATAAAGTCCTTTTCTACCTTGAGTCCATTGATAATAGTACTCAGGAGGGTGAACATAGAGCATTAAACCTGGGACATTAAAGCTTAGTCTTCCAGTACTTTGCACCTTGAAGCATACACACACAGCTTTTCCACATTTATTTTGCTGTTTGTTTCCTTGTCAGAGTCAGGAGAATTTTTAGCAAGTTTCTGCAGTGCAGGTGTTGACAGCATGTCCAGCTACCAGTACTTTTGGCATGTGGCTCTTTTGCTGACATTCAGCTGTGCATTTCCTGGCTGTAAGACACAGACAGTTTATTCTAATTTCAGATTCTGAGGTCCAAAGAACAGCAACAAGAGAAGAGAAATGAGGAATTAGGGTAAAGATCCTGAGCAGCAGCAGAAAAATAGTCATTCATATAAAAGTTTTATCTACCAATTAAAAAAAAAAAAAGAAAAAACCATAATGTTTTATAAACTATTCTCACAGAATAGTCCTGATAACATCACTAATTGTGTGGCGTGAATCCCATGAAAGGGCCTTTCAGTAACATACTCTATCTGCTGAGGTCTAAACCCTGCAGAGCACACAGTTCATCCTGGCACTTAAACCCTGCCCCTACACCCATTTTTGCCTGAGCTGCTGGAACTGAGTCCCCATTCCCCTGGGAGGGCTGAGCTGCACCCAGTGGCCACCTCTTCCCCACTGAAATTTGTTTTCAATCTCCACAGGACCTTCAAGTCTCTGGTCTTGTTAGAGGCCACACTTCACCCACATTTAGGTTAGTGTTGCAATGACAGAATCCCAAAGACTGTCCTCTGAAGTATTAATGTGTAGCTAATTAGCACCTCCCTATAATTGCCTGTCTTTGCATGACCCATCACCTTGAACTCTCCCTGCCTGGACTGTTTTGGTTTCAGACTACTTTAAAGGTACCGAGATCTCTGGGTATTTTTTGTCTCCAAGTAGACAGAATTAGTTTTACAAGATTTGGAAAATACATCATATTCTGTGGGAAGGAAACAGGTTTGTAAAACAGAGATGCTGTCATGAATGTCATAAAAATGAAGAATATCTTTGGCTGGAGGGAAAGCATTTCCTGAGGAGACCTGTTTATTTCACCAAGATTTTTTCATGCAGACATTTGACAGCTGAGTAGAGGATCTGCCATCCTGCATCAGGGACAGAGTCTGTCCAGGTCAGTATCCTGTCCCTGACAGGGACCAGCTCCAAATACTTCAGAGAAAAATGCATTTCCATCATGATGGGAAAGAACTTCCTCATGTGATGAGTTTACTGCCAGTCCCAGACACTTGCTGGTTGATTTGGAGAAGAAGCAGTAGGCTCATTTTTTTTCTTTGTTAATCTCAGGTTGTTTAATAGTAAATACATGGAGCAAAATTCAGTTCTGGCTATATCTTGAATTGCTATTGAACTCTATCATGAACAGCATTGTGGCAGCATATTTCTTAGGTTATTAAACAGTCATAGCCCTCTTAGCCGTTTGCAGGATAATTAGTTTTGATAAAGAAAGATACATTCAAAGGCAAAGGAACATCTGGTACAAACTCTAAGCTGTAGTCTTTAAAACTGTTTTCTTCCATGGGTTATTAACATTTTTATTTTCTTTCAAGTTCTCCTTTCAAGGATCTTTTCTGGGTATTCTTCATTACATTAGACTTGACTTTTCTTCTGTATCTACTCGTTGTTAATCTTACAAAGAAATGCTGCTATCTACAGTGTATTATTTTCCTTTTTTTCATCATGCACTTAGTAAGTGGATGAGTGGCTAACTCTGAGCACAGGCACTAGACCAAAGGCAGCTTTGAGAGCATGACCAGCACTGGCACAGGGTGACTCCTGATGCTGAACACCAAGTGACTGCACCCAGGTGTGGGATGTGCTTGCAATTAAAACATACAGCACTTCTGCCACGCACAGGAATCTTTTGTTAGCTAAAATTAACTGGCACGTGTTCCTGGCAGTGCTGCTGCTGTTTCCAAAGTGACAGCCTCTTCTTCTGCATCCCCAGGAGAATACCTGAGCAATGGCACACGCTGCCTTCCCCAGCCTTGCCGTGTCAGGGGCTGCCAGGCACCCTCTGAAACAACAAACCCCATTCCAGGGGTGGGAAGGAACTGATCCTGTCCAGTGTCCCCTTGTTTATCACCAGCAGGCAGGACATCAGCACCTCTCCTGCTGGGTATGGGACCCAGTGATGCACAGAAAGCCAGGAGAAGCCATGGCCTTGTGCCTGTCTCCTTGTGTCAGCAGATTAGAACAGGTCACCAGTGCCCTTCTCTAAAGAGAAAAAGATGTGCACACCTCACGTGGGTATAACCATGGCATTTATATCTTTGATCAGTCCTTGTTTGTAACTGTAGACACACAGTTTGTCTTTCTGTTTTTTCTTCTCCAGAATCTCACTTTCTGTCAAGATTTCAAATATATTAGTACCTTTTTGGGCCAGTTCTGGCTTCCAAATGCAGAGTAGGGTGAGCACACCAGGAATCTCTCTCCCTGTTGTCCTCTCTCTAGGAGAATTCCTTGTTTCCGGAATATTTTTTTTAATATATATTATGTAAGTTGCAATGAGAAGATTCATGAAAGCACATGAGTGCTTTTTTGCAGTTCTGCAGAAAATTCAATGTTGCTGGGATGCTCAAAGAGCCCACCGGACCCTGCAGATGGCATCCCAAATTTTAATTTTAATAATTTCTTCTTTTCAAGGCTACTTTACACAAACTACATTATAAAGTCATTAGCACAGAGTCCTTGGGACTCTAGGATTTGCAGAATGCTGCTGGTAGTCAGGAGAAAGGTTTATAATTAAAATACAAGAACCATAATTTCCATTAATATTTTTCTAAAGTAATTTGTTCATATCTGTATTTCTGTATCATTGATCACATTTTAGAAAAAAATCTGCTAAACTTGTTAAGTCTCAATACTCTGCTAATGATAGATTAAGCACTTCTAACAAGTGCAGCCAGTGGATTCAGTGAAGATCTAAATATAATTACACTGTACACCTGAGCTCCATTTCAACTTCTCTTACTGTCCTGAAATATAATTAGGATGGAGCCTTGGGGACACACTCACTGCTAACCAAAATCTCAATGACCTTGCTGGGGTCAAAGCAGATGTCAAGTCACAAGTGAGTATGAGGCATTGACTCTAAGAATAGATTCAAATTTCCACTGCTAGGTGCAGTCATGATGTGAATGAAACTACCAAGAAAATACTATAGATCTCAAAGACAAAGTAGTCCTTAAAATAATTTTCAAAAAATAATCTTAAGGCTAACAGGAGACAGTGATGATAATTGAGACCTACTCAGAAAATTTAGTAATTTTCTTTTTCTGCATGCTGTGTTAGAGCTTCTGAAAAAAGTGGTTAGTGGTTAATGACTAATTTACATTTCCTGGTTTACAACCCTTTAAAAACAATTATTCTGTAGGGTCAGTGAATTTGGGAGACTTGGGAAATTGTGGTTCAGCCTCCTGCTCCAGCAGTGGCACTAAAGCTCCAGCTCTCCAGGCCTGGGAATGCCACTGCAGAACGGGACAGTGCGCTCCGTCTGGGACGTGTAGATGTGTCCTTGTGCCACCTCCTCACCTGGAAAGCAGCTCCTCTCCCTGCTGAGCCTGCCCTGCCTCACACCAAGTCTCTGTGGTGTTTCTCCTTGCGTCAGGGCTCGCCACAGAACCAGGTCAGTGGTGGGTGGAGGCTCCAGAGGACACAGAATCCAGCTGATAATCAGCCACATGATGGTGCAGCCCTTTGTAAGGAGATGCTGGTGCCCACAGCTTGCTCCGTAGGTACAGAGGAGATCCGGCAGCCACTCTTGATCTCCCAGGAGTCAGGCTGGCCCAGAGGACACAAGGCAGCCCAGCAGAGCCCAGGCAGCCCAGCCACAGGCTTCATGGGCAAGGAAAGCAGTGAAGAGTCTGGGAATTTGCTCAGCACTGAGGCGTTTCAGGTGTCTGCAATAAACACAGTTCAATACAGCACATTGTAAACTGCTGATAAAAATCATCAGTGTAAGTTTAGTGCAGGACTAAATAACTTTCTTCTGGGTGCAGATCTCTTGTAGATCTTTTCCTGCAAATAGAGGCTGCTTTGAGAGTGCCATTTCCCTTGAATTTGTGATTAGCATTTATTTCCCCATGCTAGAGTTAAATTTAGCACTAGATCTACTTATTTTTTAAAACTAGGAACTTAGTAAAATCTTCAGATTTTTCTTCATAGAACAAACCAGGAATGAATAAAGTGCTCTTCGAAAGTGGCAATCTTCTATACACATTTTTCAATTACAATAATTGCAACAGACTATTAAATTTCAATATATCTGACATCATACAGAGTTATTAATATGGAACTAAAACAATTCTTCTGAGTGAGACTTTGAATATTATTTCTTACCGAGATTAGGTATTCTTTAAGAAACTGGATAAAAAATATTTACATGTATTTTGGGCTAAGCTGCTAATTCATGACTAATAATCAAATTATTAGAACATATCAATTTATTTCAGATCTATAAAATACAAATCTAAAAATATAATTTTACAGACAATATTCATCATTTAGTTTATATTTCAGTATGATCTAAAGCCTATCTTGCTCAGAATGATAATGTAACAGAATAACAAAATAGTCTACATTTTAATCTTAAACTGGAGTCTACCATTTACATCAAAAATACCTGTGCACAGTAAACAATTAAACATCTACATTTTAAGAATAGATTGGCTACATCTCATAACTGAGACACTGATTACAGTACATTTATTAAAAATCCTTCAAGAATGCACTCAGTTGTAGCAGTAGTTAAAATCATAACAGTTCTGTGAAATGATCAAAGCAAATGATAACAGAATTTTAAAATTCAGTTAATCATTTATACGCAATGTAAAGCCCATGTAACACTACAATGAAGGAAGAAATTACATGGGCACAAGTGCAAAAAAGCAATATTATAAGCCATCTTCTCTCTTTGGTAACAATCAATTAGCAAGAAGTATACCATAATAACTCAAGTCAAAGACTAATTCAAGCTATATGTCTTTTTGCTTTCCTACCATAGGCAGACTTGATTTGCAGGCAATCTACAGTAGAGAGGTAAAATTCTACTTACACTGCCCATTTTTTCCTCTTTCAAGTTTAAATATTGAAATTAAAGACAAGGGGGTTTTTTCTTTCATAAATAGCTTTTCAGTAGTATTGTTTCTTCAGGAATTTGAAAATAAATAGCAAAATATACACGACTTCAAAGAATACATTTAATTCCTTCTAGGTATATCCTGAAAATATATCACCAAAGAATATATAACTTTGGGTTTTTCAGATATTTGGTAACGTGTCAATTACTCTTAGATAAGGAGTTTTCTCTGAGGGATAAGGAAGTACCATTGCTTTTTCTACAAAGCTTTTCCTATACAGGTGGAATTTTAATAACTTTACACCAAGAATATGATCTGTAATATAATATGGATGTTACCCACTAAAAAGTACAGTAAAAAAAATCTTTAGAAATTAAACCTTCAGAACTTCATGTTCAAATCTGAGGAACTTCCCAGTAACTATGAAGTTCTCCTGGCAGTCAAGATTGGCTGTCTGTGTGAGGAGGTCACAATAACAATAAGGCAATTTCCCTCAATGGCAGAGCCAAAGCTCTTTACTATTGACAACATATTAAAAATCCAGAAAGGACAAAATGCTGAGGAGGGGACAAAAGAGAGGATGTAGATGAAGAACATTTGTGTCTAAACCATCCTGAGACACATATGGATTGTCTACAGAGATTTCACTATAACCATAGATTTTACATAAATTCTGGTTTTGAAGGACTTGACCCTCATGAACAATTAAGGTCATAGGGGTAGGTTATCATCTTACTCAACTTCCTCCTTATATTTATCTGAAATTATTGCTAAAGAAGGAAAAAAAAAATCCAAGCCAAAACAGCAAAGGAACTAAAAGAATCCAGCAACTTGAAGTGTCATTAGAAATGGAAAAAAAATATTATCTACAGGAAGATCTTCTGGAGGGGCAGAGTAAAGTCCTTACCTTTTTACAAGATCCATTTAAGCTGCCAGAAGAGTAAAGGCAATTTTGACTGCTCATTTATTCATAATTGAGAAATAACATGTAGGTTCACTAACCTCCTATTCACACCCACAGTTAATTTACATAAAATATTAAGCAGAATGTTTTTCTACTCCTTGTTTGATTCCAAGCACAAGATGCAAAAACCAGTTAAATTGCACTGTCCAGCCCTTATCTCTGCAAACCTCTATCTGATCAAGAAAATGCTTTTTGGCATCTTCTTCACTTTTCCCTACTGTCAGTGCTTCTCTGATGTATTCAATATCTTCTTTGCTGGTTAATTGGGGCATTCCAGTCATCAGCATCATGGAGAACAGGATGATCAGCAGGTTGGTGTGGTGTCGGAGAGCTAAATAAGCCTTCACACATACATCCTGTGAGAGAGAAGAGGTTTTTGTTAATTGAGGGGATGGATTGAGAGGGATGGTGTAGGGATTTCACAGGACTCTCATTAACCAATGCCCTTCAATCACTCGAGTGTCAGTGACAGGAGACCCAACAGAGCCATTCAACAGAGTTGAAATGTGACACAAACTTCTGCACCGCCTGCTCAGTGTAACTTCATTCACCACAGCTTGGGGCAACAAGAACTGTTTGGGTGTACAACAAACGGCTCTTAATACTACATTAATTACTAAATCACAAAACCTTAGCCTCACCAGAATTTCACAGCCATATAACCTCTCTCTGTGGCTGTTAAAAGAGACAGCAATAATTCCCTGTCTTGCTTTCCTGTTGGGATGTTCCCATGTAAAGACTGTGGCTGGCAAGTGAGACTGAACAAAGCAGCACCTCCAGGGGATTGCTCTTCATTTTCTCTAGATGTCTATTAACTGTGCAGTGGTGACGGATTATTTAACAGGGAAGATTTTCAGCCTTGGTGTTTAAGGAATTTTGCTAGCTGACAGCTCTAGTCTTCAGGCACTCTGCCTTGCTGGAGGATTTCTATCACTATGCACTGTCATTCCAGATTCCAAAGGCGTTTTTTAGAGCCTTTCCATTTCCATGTATAAATAATCTGTGCTTAACAACAGAACTTTTAGAAGAATGACATTTCTGCAGCTTGGAAAAACATGCAGTGCTTTAAAAACAATGATTTCCTGCTAAGAGACTAATACATAAATTGAAATTATTACTTCTTATATTAAATTTATAACTAATTTACTAGCAGAAATAAGAACAATGCAATGAAGACATCAATCATCAATCAACTAGAAATTGGGTCTGCAATGCAGTAATGTAAAAATGTGAAAAAATTTTCCAAGAAGGTTATTATTATTTAAACCAGAGCTGAAGCAATGCTAATTTTTACCCAATTAAATATTCAATTTAACCTTTCAACAGCTGTATATTAAGCTTTTGAATAATGCTTGGGAAATCCAAGTATTTTAATGTAAACGTCCAACAAATCCCAACAGTCCTCCAGAACACAGGGCATTTTTTACAAGATATATGGTTTTTTTCTTCTCTGAAATAGGAAGAAATGCACAAATAATCTTAACATCTATCACTGTTTACATCAGCAACACCAGGACCCCCAACTAGACAGGTCAGGAAAATGCAAAGGAAGGAAGATGATACATTGAAGATCTGTCTGTACAATGTCTTTTTTTAGTATTGCCTGGGAACTTGAATCTTTTACTCTATTCCCAAATAAATTCTGTTCTGAAATAAGATCATACTTATGAACACCAGTGTCAGTTTAGTTCTAGCACAGCAAAAGATTAAATGCAATGGTCAAAGCACAGTTTACAATAGAAAACACCATCACCTTATCACAGGGAATAGCTTCTCTCCATTATAGCAGGAGAAAATTTTTTTTTTTGTATTCTTAACTTCAAACAGAGAAATCTTGTCACAGGAGTTAGTCTGTGTTTTGTTACCCTTGAAAGAGATGAAAGGTCTTTATAGTTATATCAAAGAAGGTTTTACATTTCTGTATGGATGATGTATCTCACTGCTCTGGGTGTCTGAGACAGAAAAACAATTATGCAGTCAAGAAAAACCTGGTATCACTGCATCTCAAAGGCAATCCTTCCAGGAATTCAAAAGATTTTAAAAATCTACATCTGCCTGTTACAGTTATTCATTCAGACAGGATCTGGACGTGGTTTTGCATTAGTATTTTCCAAGAAAAGGAATTTTTACACTTCTGAGAGAGGCGGTGAGAACCAAAAATAGCCCAGACGATAGGTGTGTGTCAAGGGCAGGCACAGGTTTACTGTGGGATTGAGAAGAAAGCTGCTAACTCATCTAAAGCCAGAGGCAAAATGAGAGGAGCTGAGGAGAAAGCAAATTGCCCAACAGGAAAGAAAAGAACAATCATTCTGAAAGCCTGAAACTGACCTAATTATTATTATCCTAAAATCCAGGCATTTTTATCATATAAAGTGCCCAAGTTCTATTACATAGGCTATCCCTTCCCTGTACAGTATACTCCAAATAAGTGGAGTGATGAATTGAGTACCCTTTTACTTTCTGTGACCTTTGTTTGACAATCAAATACATGAGATTTTGTAATTAAATAAATCCACTCTTCTGCAGTGAACTTTGGTCAAAGTTATTTGTCATTTTAACCTTCTCCATCATCTACAATATGAGCTCTGGCTAACACATCTGTATGGACTATGTCCAGGGAATAAAAAAGAAATAAAATTTTATAAAAGTAGATTATTAAGTTAATAAAAACACCCAAGACTGTAAAAAACAAAGGAGTCTTCTGAAGTACAAACTGTTTAAATGTAGTAAAGTACAAAATAATGAGAGATGTTCTTAAAAATTAATGAAGGATAAATGCTGAGACTTTTCCATTAATACTTGAATGAGTCAGCAGGCAGACTGAATGAATCCCTCAATATTAGGAATATTGATTTATTAAATAAAAAACAAATATGATAAACAAAATATGATAAAACAATATTAGGAAATATGATAAAAAGTCAACTGAAAAATGAAACTACAATTTTCATTTTTTTTAAACCCTGGCCATATAATTAAAACACATACATTTTTTATAGCCAAATATGTGATGCAAATCTTGCTCTGTGTTATTCTTTTACTTGTATAGAAGTATTTTATTTTTTACTGGTCTTTTGAGACAGAAAAGACTTGTAAAGTACTACTGCAATAGTGGTATATAAACAGTAGCTATTGCAGCAGAACTATACATGAACTTACATTTTTTTGGTCAGTTTATTTTTGTCTGTGCCTAAACCATGTCACTTAAAATGCCCAGGTCTTCCATCACCATCAGAACTCACAACAGTAAAAGCACATTAATCACCTTTTATCTGGCTAAGGACACAAGTGGAAATGACATTGGAGCTATCACAGCATTCCTAAACTGTGCATTACTGGGATGGTAGCAGTACTTAATAACTTAGAAATTAGTACCAGAGTAACAAAAAGTTTATTTAGTCAAACCCAGGACTCCATGATAGAGGCATGATTTATTGAAGAGAGGCTATGACCAAACTTATTTCCAAATGATTTTGGTATCTGGGCTGCTGAAGCAAAGGTCAGATCCTCTCTAAAGAGCTGGATGATCCATATATATGAAAACAACTTTACCTCACTGCAGACACCTTTCAATTCTCCCTGAGCACACTTTCATACTTCTATTTTCTGCCTCAAGAACAGAGGTCTTTGAAATTACATACCCCAGAATGGTGCTTCAGTCCCACACCTATACATGACTTAACAGCTGTAGGAACAGTATCATTGTTGTACACAGCACAGCTCACGGGCTTCCCTGAGAGCATGGGCTCAGCATTCCCTTCCCATGTAGTTCCCTTTCCACAGTAGTTCCAACCCATGGCAAACCCCACCCTAACATCTTTCCATCTACAAGTCCTTTTCAAAGCACTTCCACTGTGATAAAGGCAGTCCTGGAAAAAATGAAAATTCAAGGATTGCAGCTGGTTCTTTAATTATTTTCAGAAGTTTCAAAGATCATTGGTTCTTCATTGCATGAGTCCTCTCCACACATGGCCTCTCCCTTTTGATTGTTTCTGGTGGACAATGTGATTTGTCCTAACATAAGGATACCATAAGGTGGGAATTGCAAGAGGATCCAAATGGATCCCCACCCCAGGCAGGGAAGCCTGCAGGATGTGTCCAGCCTGAAGATGGGTAACACTCATTTTTGGATGAGTGAGTAAAAGCACTGAGATGCAGCCACATATGGAGACAAAATGCTGAAGTAACTGCATATGTGTTCAAAGGGACATAGTCACATCCACCAGGGAGAACCATAATTAGGTACTTGGAAAACCAGACTCCATACTGGGACTACCTCACCCACAAGGAATCCAGAACATGAAATTCAGGCTTTGGCTTTGACTCACTCTACAGAAGAATTTTTCTTTTAATATTATAAGGAACTTGCTTTCTAAATCAGACACTTTACTCAAAGTCTCTAAAGACCTCAGACATACATGCACTTTTGACCAACCATGCTCCCATTCATTTCATTAAACATAGGAACTGCATACTAAACTCCCTCTTTGACCAGGTTCTACACTAGCTCAAATAAGCCCAACAGGTTTGAAAACACTAAATTTCAAATAGAAGCAATAGAACAGATTTTTAATGCCATTTCTTTCACAGTTAAATCTATCCATCCACTTCACAAACCACCATCTGAAATAGCTTAGGGTCACTACAGATTTTTACTCAGATGCAGCGGTCCAAGTCCCAGAACTCGAGGGCAGACTCAGGAGGCCAAGCCAACTGATGAATGCCTCAATCCTGCTCATACTCCACAGAGGCTCTGCTTAGAGCCATGAGCTTCTTCTAATTGCACCAACACTGAAGCCCTCTGCAAAGTGTTTTCAATCAAGACAAGAAACAAAGAAAGAACTGCTTATCTGGTCTGCTGCTAATGAGCTTTTCAGTGTGCCTTTGTGAATGTTTGAATTCTAGTTCCCATAATTGTACAGATCATTTTTTCTCTTAGTTGGGCCTAAAATATCCCAGAATGGTATTATGATTCGGTACATTTTATTAACATAATACCCAGGAGCCTAGATCTTTGAAAATCAAGGCACTAATGCTCATTTTAGAGCGTAAAAAAATTTGCTTAATTGATTTGCAGCTAAATTCCTACTCTTTTACCTGAAATTTGTGGAAATGGAGACTTGTCTTCTTTCCAGAAGTTCCCATGACATACAGAAAATCTGGAGTCAGCACAAAAGGAACTCTCTCCTTATTAATTCCAAGGAAGCTTTTATAATTCCCAAGAATATGGCCAAAATCAATATGGAAAAGGTTACCTTCAAAAAGAGAAGAAGAAGTCACGTTCAGACAAATACAATAAACTGCTAAGAACACTTAGGTGTATTCACAGGAGTTCCAACCCCTTTTTTCAGTATATATGATCACTCTTGAGTTCAGCAGAAAAGACTACTTTCTTTCTTTTTTTGGGAAATACATAATTCTGTCCTCTTTGCAAAATTACTTTTTGTTTATCTTTGGCAGTTGTTAAAAGTCTGGCAGAAGCTGCTGTACTATCTAAACATACACTCACAGCTTTTCAAAAATAACCAAGGAAAGCTTGTGCCTCATACCCATAACAATCAGAGCATCACTACATGGAAAAGGCTTGGGGGTTATGTCTCAAACACCCATGGGATTCTGGCACTACCATCTCCTTGGCAAATGTCATTGACTAGAACATGCTTTCTCCTCACAGACCTTCATTAGTGATTTCTAAACCACTCTGTGTGTTCCAAGTCTGCATTGTCACCCTTTGGATAGCTTTGAGAGCGTAGCACGGCATCAGTTCCCACAAAAGCAATGAAAACCTCTCCTTTTAAGGGTCACTACACCTACAGGACTGGAGTGTGCTGCTCCTCTCCACATTACTTTATTACTTTCACTGGCACTCAGGAAATGGATACAAGCGTATGGTTACTTAAAAACACAGATTTGTAGTAGTGGCATATTTATAAAAAAAGATAAAACATCGAATTATATAAGATGATAGCTAACAATGATCTGTAGGTGGAATATCCTTAAACGTTCCAGATTTTAAGCCAGCTTTCAAGTTCCCCCAGCCTACCAAATCTGACTCTCTGCAGACCTCTCAGACTGAGATCCTTCTGGCCCCTGAGGCTCAAGAGAGATCCTGTTAAAGACTCTGAGGCAAATCTGAACAACACCTTTTTCTCAGTTTCCCTGTCTATTGACCTGTGCCTCATGTTCTGCCAGTGGGAACAACATCACATTCTGTTATATATAATGTTGAAATTAAAGCATTTCTTAGTCACTTCTTCCCCAAGGGCTTCTGCTGAACTTTTTTACTGTAGTCTTCAATTAGATAATTTCTGCCTTCAGGGTACTTCTTCTCTCCAGCCTTCAACTGATAAAACTTTAATATAATCAATAATAAATATTCCGCCTTCTAACTATTTTCCATCTCTTACCAGAGACTAATTATGAAGTGAGAGGATCATGAAATTAAAAGTGAATTCCTTAGACTAACTAAAACTTCTCCATATGTACTGATTGTTCAGGGGTTCTTTCCATAGGTAAGTAAAATTAAGCATGAAACAATGTGCAGCTACAGAAATAACTCCCAAAGTTTATAGTACAAAAAACCTGTAGGTCTCTTCAGGAGGATACAACCATCCCACAGATTTTAGTAGGTAAACAAATATACTTCATGTACACCTATTTTCTAAAATTTTTTACAACAGTACACAAAGCAATTACATTCCTCAGAAATGAAAACAGTCCAGCAACATCTGAATTCTGACAGAATTCAGTTCCACTGAACACTGTGAGAATCACAGCCACACATCAGATAGATGAACAGCTGCCTGCTTTATAAAGTTTTTTGGTGTTCAGACCTTAGATGTAGACAGTAAAAAAAAATTAGTTTACATTTCTAATGACTTTCTTTGTATGAAACTGCTCCTTGGAATATAATGGCATTATTAGATAGCTATCTCCAGCCTGTATGAAGGCCAATAGGGGTGAAAATATATTTCAATGTTACTTGACCTTGTAAGCACCACTGACGGAACTGGTTTGTCTCTTCATTCATTGTTAAATGCACTATTTATTAAAATGAAACATAAATCTAGTGAAGTATAGACAGTCTGCACATCTATGAAATTCTCAAAAAAAATAACCCACCTGTTTCTGTAATCATGATGTTGTCGTTGTGCCTGTCTCCTATTCCAAGTACAAAGGTTGCCACACAGTATCCAGCACAAGAATAAACAAATCTTTCCACAGCTGCCTGAAACTAAAAATAAATCTTAGAGATGTTGAATGTTTCAATGCTAGGCACTACACGCAACCATTCTCAAAGTTATGTGCCTTTCTGTTGAAATGTATCTATCACCAGTTAGGCAAACTGTTCTATAAAATACAGCACTGCACAGCAGAGGCCAAGCTCACAGCTTTGTACTGCACCCCCTGTGCTGGCTCTATCTCTCAGCACAGAAAAGCAGCACAGAGCAGCTCACACATTCTGAGGGAAAAAATGTGGCAGAAAGCTGCAGTGGGTCAGTGGATGTACACAAGCAAAGGAGTTGTGAGTATCCAATTCCTTTGGATTTTGGATACTCACAATTCAGGTGCAATTCCTGCACCTGAATCCTCTAAACCCACATTGCCTTTCAGGGCTCTTAGATGTCCTCTCACCCTGCTCCTCTTGTATCACTTCTAACTTCCATTGATAAAGGAGTGATTTCAGAAGCATCCTGTCTCTCAGGAGCTTGGCTGCCAGCTGGATGCTAAAGGCTCATTCATAGACACCCACAGCTGAGTGCAGGGAAAATGAATGGGTTTTTCAAAACCCCACAAGTAACAAACACAAACATATGGACTCAATGCTCCTAAATTAGCAGGGTGTAATTAAAAATCCTTCCTAAAAATTCAGAGAACTCACCTTCTCTTCAATCATGCATCTTTCCTTAAGCCACTGGTTTAATATTTCATCCTTAAATGCACCAGTGTTCCCAACTGTACTCTGTTGAATTTTGGCAATTGTTGTAGCATCTTTCACAATTTCAATCATTCCTTAAGAAAATAAGGAAAAGGTTAGAAGAAGTTATTACATTTTTATCAAAGCACACTAAAAATATTCACAATTAAATTTTAAAATGTTTTTAAAAACCAACTGCAGATCTTCATAGGTCGTGAGCAGAAATTTATTTGACAAGGAGCAATGGTTCCTGTTCATTCCCAGCTGAAACCAGCCAGAATTCATAAAGAGCCTGGCATCAAAACTCCTCCTCTTTTAAAATGGATGTATCACATGATGAGTGGGGACTCACTGCATAAAGCTTTTCCCAAGGAGAGGGAATATTCCTATCCTGATCCCAATTCACATTTTCCCCAGCTTCTCTCCAATGTAACAAATACAAGGAGTTGAAGAAAAGCTTTCCTTTTGCTGCAGTCTAGGAATGCAAGTATTGCCAGGGCTGGACAGGAATAGAGCTGGCCCTCCTGTAGTAAATCAAATTTAAGCTGAAGTGTGCATTTACACAGAAAGCTCAGAAATCCCAGTGCACAGCAAGGTACAGCACTGGGATTGCTGGTGGAAAGCTCTGGTTGTCAGGGCCATGGGGTCTGTCCCTAGATTGCCAAGGCACACTGGCACATCAAAGCAATACCGTGCAGAAACAGGGCCTTGTCCTGCTCGTGCCAGCATGGCATGTGACAGAGAGGACGCCAGAGAGAAATGCAGAAACAGAGGCTGCAACACAACCCTGCACTATAGCCAAGACTAGCAAATGCAGTCCAGACTGGGCATGCTTATATGGGGGAAAGTCAGATTTTAATTGAATTTATTTGGTAATTGGAAATTTTTTTTCCCTCTGGTTCAAGTTCAACAGTGTCTTCTAGCTTCAGCTCCAGTTCAGAGATAAGCAAGCAAACAAAAATATCCGTTTCTCTCCAAAGCAATTCAAAGCAGCTTCTGAGCTGATTTCAACTTAACTGTATGAACCAGATAAATTTCTTTCTATTCATAATCCCACCCTTTTGCAATTACTGAATGATGTGCAAATTTTCCTGTAACAGAGTAACAACACAGCAATCTCTTCCTGCCCTCTCTGCATGGCTGAATTCATGGCTGAATACCCCTGGAGGTATTTTCTTCTGTCGTTACAGTGGCCTGGATATGTTTGCCATAAAACTATGGTGGAACTATGACCTCCAAAACCCACCACCAAGACCACCAAATTTACAAGCTTTGCATTTTGATCTCTGCTAGTCAAGCTGTTGTTTTTCTCCCGGGTGTGAGCTGCAGCTCTCATTCCAGCTGTTGGAAAAGTTTCCCTGGCTGTGCTCGCAAATCTCCCTCTGCCGGCCAAGAGCTCCTTGATGGCGGGGGAGCAGCGCTGGCTCAGGAGGTGCCAAGGACAGCAGGTCTCAGCTGGGCTGCACCCAGCTGCGAGGGAGTGCAGCAGGAAATGCACCATGCAATGTGTGTCTGAGGCTCTGTGGTGACTCTTAGAAAAGGCAGCTTGAACTTCTTGTTTTCTGCAGTGATGCTGCACAGTGAGTAGTGGTAATTGCCTCCCAGAGCCAGGAACATATGGACATGTCAAAGGGAGAGAGAACAGGGTGTGACCTTGTAGCAGTGATACAGAGAAGAGAAAGTCCATCCTACACAGGCCTGCTTGGCAGCAGCAGTGGAAAGGCCAGATGCTTCCAAAATTACAAACTGCACTGGATGCAATGTCTTTAACAGAATGAAAATGCTCTATGCAGGAGGGGCGCCAGCCTCAGCTATAAGACACTCATTTCCCTATGCTCAGTGTAGAGTGGGGTACTGGCCTTGTGTCAATACACAGAAACTGCCCAAGTTCCATGGAAGTATTAATAGAGAGGGAAGAAGCAGCCTGGAAGAAGACCACATGTGAATACCGTGAAAGAACATTTGCATGCCACTACTCTTTGGTTCTGCTCCAAACAAGCATAAGCTCTACATCAAAGTGTGCCACTTTGGGCATTACTAATTTAGGCTGCAGGTATTCTCAGCAAACCAAGCAGAAGTGTTAATATGATTAACCATGCCCCTGCTGTGGTGCTAAAAGGATGCTAAATTCTAACAGCTCTCCCATACCTATAGGAAAATCAAATATTATTTCCTTGAGACAGAAGAATGAGGAATCAATTAAGAATTCAGGAAAGAATAACAGATATCTGTAACTCAAGTATGAAAATGATAGAATTACTGGCAGAATTCCTCCTTATTCCTTCATTTTTTCAATACATTTTCTTAAGATAATTTTAAACAAAATTAAATCCGATCCTAAAAAGCTCTTTAAAAATTAGATTTAATGCTTCTAAAGAAGAGAAACCCCCTGACTTTCCTTATATTTATAGTTAGTTAGCATTTTGATGTACAATTTTCCATTTTCTTTATTATTAAAATTCTATCAATAAATATAATTCATTTTTAAAACATTTCTATTAGGAGAAAAGAAACTCTCTTATGTCACACTACCAGGTATTTTATCAGTGAGTTTGGGTTTTCTGAGATATCCTGAAATCAAAAGGATGTTAAAAAATTTTATGTGGCAATGGATTTTAGAGAAGAAGTACATTACATAAGTATATTAAAGAGTTATAAAGAGTCTTAATTTTATTGGGAATTCTTACTTGATTTCTTTTACCACAAGTTCTGAAAAATGGATCATCTCTGCTGCAGGAACTAATGCCCAGAGAGAAATATTACCTAAGTATCCTGTTAAGTAAAGTTGCTGCTTCTATGTGGTATAAAGTATGAAGCTTTAGGTCAGGAAAAAATGTAAATGCTTTGCTCTTTATTTTATTCCTATCAACACATTAAAATACATCTTGAATAAGTCACTTACTTTCACTGTTCTTTTATAGTAGATATTGTTATTAAAGAGGAGCATGCAGCACAAGCCAAGCCATTGCACAGGAATCACAGCCAGTAAACAGCTGTGCTACAGCTCAGGGAGGGGCAGAAACCACTGCCAAGCTGCACCTGAAGGCTGCTCACAGCTAGTGTAATAAAGTGCTGCTTACCTCAGGACTGCAGCACATATTATTCTAGTTCTCCCAGATCTTCTGTAAATATGGTATTTTGAATTTCTAATCACAGTAAGTGTGATCACATACCTATTTTGTTCCCTGTAGAAATGCAACCATATGGCAACAAACAGAGGTCCAAGGATTCTGCTTCCCAAATGGATTCCATAATTCGAAGAATCTAGTAAAAACAAATGGATATGCTAAATTATTTCAAATTATTTGAACATTACAGATTACTCATACAAATAACACTTCTAAGACTTCTAAGATGGGGCTAAACTTACTTTGCTATTTGATTAAGAGATGCATACAGAAAGTGTGCAGCCATTCAAGATAATCAGTCATAGGGGTTTATATTTCTTCATCTGTCCTGCAACCAGGAGATCTTTACTCTTCTATAAAGTATTCATAAATATATTGTATGATTTCTACATAAGGTGAGATTGAATGTGTTAGCAAGCATGCCCACTTTTCCCCATTAATACCTCCAAAAGCCCTAACAAATCAGTTGTCTTAAACAGGAGTGATGCTAGCTACTGATTTTTCATTTGCTAACTTCACCCATTGCATAAATAAAAGATAAAAACACTTCATCAGAGAAACAGGGCATCTTGCACTAAGTAAGATTCTGTCTCTAGTGTCATGGACATATTTTCTGAAAAATACTTTTGCTTGGATTTTTCTCCTGAGAAGCTGAGGCCTCAGAAACAAAATGTAAACAATGGTTATCTGCTGCTGTGGAATGCAACAGGTGCATCTGTGATTGGTGTCATGTGGATTGTTTCTACTCGATGACCAATCACAGTCCAGCTGTCTCAGACTCCCTGGTCAGTCACAAGATTTTATTATCATTCCTTTCTTTTCTAGCTTTCTGATGAAATCCTTTCTCTTTCTTTAGTGTAGTTTTAGTATATAATTTTCTTTTAATATAATATACATCATGAAATAATAAATCAGCCTTCTGAAACATGGAGTCAGGATTCTCATCTCTTCCCTCATCCTGGGACCCCTGCGAACACCACCACACTCTAGAACACAAAAATGTGAAATATGTCTGGCATATGGCAGGAAAAGCCAGGGTAACAGTATGCACTGTGTGTGGTTGGGATGAAGCTCCCTTTCTTCAGAGCAGTTTGTAGTGTGCTGTGGTGTAGGGGGTGGCCAAAGCAGAGCTGGGAACACACTGATGTCCCCATGTCCCAGCTGAACAGTGTCTGCTGGGTGCCAAGGCTGCCACTTCCTCACCCGACTCACTGTGACTAGATTGGGGTGCACGAGAGATTGGGAGGGGGACACAACCAGGGACACAACCTGAACCAACCAAAGAAATATCCATGCTGAACAATGCCATGCTCAGCAAGAAAACAGGGAGCAAGGGCTTATGTAGGTTAACCATCTTCTGTGCAGGGACTGGCTGGGAACTGGCCCACCCATGGGATGTGGAGTGACTGCCTTAGCACCACTTGTTTTGTTTTCTTCCTTCCTTCTTCCACTTCTCCTTTGCTTATTAAACCACCTTTAGCTCAACTCACAAGCTTTCTTACTCTTCCTCTTTTTCCATCCCACAAGGGTTAATCCATAACACAGTACAACAAAGATGATATGGTGCTGATGTCAGCCTTGCCATACAGAGTTTTAAATACAAAAGACAACCTCTCATTTCATATGGACAGTGAAGACAAGGTATACACACTTAGGAAAAGCAAAATTATTTTAAAATATTTTAAAATATTCATGTTATCCTTTATAAGGTTTAGCTCTCATACCTGTAAAATTAGCATGTCCTGACGGAGGTCATCTCCATGTTTGAAGATGATGCCTATGGTTTCATTTGACAGAGCTGTTGGATCTGCACATTTAAATTCAAGCCAGAGGGGTTTCTTCTTGGACGCCATTACTTTACATTTTTCTATCTGTGAAAGACATGCTTACTGTTTCCTGATGCCAACCCAAGAAACCTTTTTAACAGAATAGTTCACCAGCTTCCACTCAGCTATACCACAAGCAACACACTGAAAGTAGATGTAAAGGAGGGAGTTCAGTTGCCACAAAAAGCCTCCCTGAACCTACACAACTTTTAACCACTGTCCATGATAAAGGAAAAAGTGTATTTTAACTCTCCAAAAGTGGATTTAGCTTGCTTCAGACAAATTTAAAACAGGAATAGAGATTCTGACAAACCTGGAAAATACGGCCCTTCACAACAGCACTTTGACAGGTGCTTTGCAAAACCAGAAAATGATCACTGTCCAATGCAATTTACCACATCATCCACCCTTCTGACTTCTTGCAGCTACATTCCAGATTGCTTGATTCAATTCCCTTAGTAATGTCTTAAAATTCATGGGGAAAATGGCATTTTTGAAACTAATTTAAGGTAATCATTCATAAGATAATAGATTCCCTATTTAGTTTTATTACATTTTCAATACTGATAAATTCAGACTTGAAACTGCAGTATTTAAAATTGTTTTTTTTTCATTTATTATGGCTAAGACAACTGTAGTATGTCTGACTTTCTATTCTGGAATTCCTGATTCATTGTTTAACATTACTATGTACAATAAAGCCATCTAAAATAAAAAAAAAAAAAAAGCAACTGTACATCAGTGTTTGAGAGCAGATAGAATTCATTATATAGGAGTATTTTAGTATATTCATATTTCATCTACAGGCTCATTCTGAGCCTGTAGTTTTAAACAAAATAGTTTTTACCATCCTTATTTTCAAAAAGGAAAGAACTTTTAAAATCTTCGAACTTATGTGAAACTCTGATTTTGTTTCAAATATTTGGTTTAGACTTTAAAAATGTTAGGTTTTGAAGATTATGGACAAACAGTACGTGTTAGAATAGACATTAAATGAAAGCTTGGTTTTACCAAACATTTTTATTCATATAGTTTGGAAAAAGAAAAGCTAACACATTGATTCTTGGACATCCTTTGTAAATCTATTGTTTAGTTCATCTAGGAAGGTCCTGATAGGACTGAGTATCTCCTAAGTGAAGGAAAACTAGAAAATCCAGAGAAATCTTTTTTATTTTAAAACCTACTTTCTGTCAATGTTGATGATTTCTGCACCAAAAAATATATAAAAGAAGACTAAAGAGAATATACAAAATGCTAACAAGAAAATAGTATTTAAGAAATCACAAATTACTTCAGAGTAAGAAATGTCTGAATTGGCTTCTGTGCTGACAGTGCTTCAGCCTTGCTCACCTGAAAGGTGTTTCATTATCTCAGATTGAAGACAGACCAGTTTATAGCCTGTCTTCCAAGGCACAGGTTTATTTAACAGAAACATGGCCATATCTAGACAATACCTGAGCATTTGGAAATTCCTTAAATAGTATGGTTTTTCTGTCCTCAGCTAGGAGAAAATTAAGGGGTTCTTTCCTTGTAGGGTCCTTGCTGCACATGAAGTGAGTCCAAGGATCTTGACTGTGCTTCCTTACCCAGACCTCACATTGCATTTTAGATGCATGATCCAATTTCCTCTCACTTCACATCTGCTGATCTATGAATCTTTTTTTAACTCTGAGTCAACATACACAATTGCAATCTCACCACAAAACTGAAGGCAGCAATACAGAAAAACCCAAGTGTTTCTTAATGTATTTCTAACAAAATCATAATGCACTTTCTAACAAAACTAACACAGAGATACTGAAAAATCAGAAATAGCTGAGGCAGGCATTTTTGTAAGCATGATGAAGGTCTGGACCCAAACCTTAGTGACAGATATGAATCAGGATAAGACAGAGAAAGTAACTGAAAGAATGGAAACTGAATATCCCAAAGCCCCTGAATCAGGTAAGAGTTTTATACAGTTATTTAATTAAAAAAAAAAAAAAAGTCAGCTACCTGGTTAAATCTTGTATTCAACTAATGGAAAAAGAAAAAGTATAATTGCCATTTAATGATCAGGATTTCATGGGTTATTGCAAATTTTTTAGTCCGTGGTGGCATGTTTTTACATTTAGAAAAATAATAATACCTCTGGGAACAAAAATCTACTGAGTCCATGCAATGTCACTGTGTCCACACAGAAATAAGGCCTTTTATTAGTAAACTTTTTACCAAGTGACACATACTTGCAAATTTTTTTTTTAATTATTTGTACGAAGTCAGAATATACTTACCACTAGCGCTCCTGCTCTTAGCCCAGGATCATATGGAACTCTAAAACTTTCTGGAAGTTTGCTGCCCTGTAATTTTTCAAGTTTTTGTCTCAGCTGTGCAATAACTGCAATTACAAGAAAGAAAACACAATGAAATCAAATACTGGAAGGCAAAAAGGTTATAGGTAATCAAATTTGTTGAGCATTATACTTTAGCTAAAAACCTCTGTTTAGCTGCCATTTTAAATTGCTTTCCTCCTGGATCTCCTGATTCAGGAATGGAGGTAAACTCTTTACCTTGCACTATCAATGGCCAGGGTTGTTTCAGATACCTAAACATAAAGTCTTCAAACACCTCAGAAGTCTTGTGCCTTCTCTACAGTATTAGAAACATTGAACAGTAAGAGCTTAAAATGTCATTTAAATGTCAGCTTTTGTTTAAAAACAAAACACAGAAGAACACACCAAAAAGTATTTTCCCTCATAACGGACAAGAAATGCTTGATAGCTTTTGAATTCCTGGAATCAATTGCTCTGTAACCATAAGGAGACAAACTACAGAGACACTGAATTTCCTATCCTCCTAAAACTGGCTTCACAGTGCAGCCTTCTTAATCTCACATTCCTGTAGGCAAAAAATTTGCTGTATATTTATATGAACAAGAATTTTAATAGTCATACTTAAATGCAATCTCTTAATTAATAAAACCTCAAGCTCCTAAATCTTCAACTCAGAATAGTACAGATTATACAATGCATGATGTATTTTTTTCACCTCAGCCAGTGAGTGTCAGCAGCATAAGCAATACACTGGTGATTACTCTGCATTAGGGCAAAGACCTGAACTCTGTCCTAAAGGACACTGTAGCTACACAGCAGAGGATGTATATGCATGTAAAGTAATTTTGGAGATAAAAATTAAAGAGAAAAAAAAAATACTGATAAAGCTAAACATGGATACTTCCTAGATACTTAAAACAGAATCATAGAATCATGGATTAGTTTGGGTTGGACAGGACTTTTAAAGGCTATCTAGTCCAATGCCCCTGCAATGAGCAGGGACATCTTCAACTCAGCTTGCTCAGAGCCCCATCCAACCTGACCTTGAATATTTCCAGGCATGGGGCATTTCTACCACCCTAGGCAACCTGTTCCAGTGTGCCAACACCCTCATTATAAAAAAAAGCCTTCCTTATGTGTAGTCAGAATCTGTCCTCCTTAGTGTAAAACCATTAACCCTCATCCTATCACTACAGGCCCTACCAAAAAGTTTGTCCCCCACTGTTTTTTACAAACTCCCTGTAAGCTCAGGCAGGCTGATGTTAGGTCTCCTGAGCCTTCTCCAGGCTGAACAATTCTCACAGGAGAGCTGCTCCAGCCCTACCATCGTTTTTGTGACTCTCCTCTGGGCTCAGTCCAGCAGATCCATGTCTTTCCTGTCCTGAGTGACCCAGAGCTGGATGCAGTATTCCACATGGAGTGTCACAGGGGCTGAATCACCTCCCTTGACCTGCTACCTATGCTATTTTTGATGCAGCTCAAAGACACAGACATCTTGGGCTCTTAGTGTACATTAGACAAAAATCAGGACAGTTCAAACACTGCTATCAAATTAAGAAAGTCAAGCCAAAAAAATTGGCTGACAACTCACAGAACACAAATGTTACATCTGTCCTAGAGGGCTTTAGAAAAGAACTACTAGCAGTGCCTGGTAACTAACACAGTATCTCTTCTGGTAAAAAGTAAATCTGGCAGTGATATACAGGAGCTAACAAGTGGACTTTAAAATTAGACACTTTTCAAAACAATACCTCAAGAATCCCAAACTCAAACAAACAATAACACAAAAACAAACCAATCAAACAAACAAAAAACCCTAGCAACTCCACCCTGCCCCCTCAAAAGCACCTAAGTTGTAGTAACTTGGATAATGAAACAGCTTTCTATAATGTAAATACAGATTTCCTAGACAGCTATCTTTGAAAGTTACTGTTCACAGTTTACTGTTAGAGTTTACTGTCAGCTCAGTAAGTCTCCTCATTGTAATGTAATATAATGTAATGTAATTTGAAAACTGTAAGCAAACCAACTGAAGCTACAAAAGTTTAGGAATAGCTGATTTTAAGACACAAGTAAAGGCACTTTGCTAAAACCACTTTCAAGTTGATCTGGCTTAAGAACAAGGTGCTGTGCATTTTAAGCAATGAAACAGCTACATAGACACATTCTTGGGAAACAAATCATCTAGCTCAGAGAGTGATGAAAGCAGATAATCCAATGCAAGATGTAATACTATCATCTTATGAATTTATTTATTTATTTATTATTACCTGCTATCTTCAAATATAAGCAAAGAGATTACAGTGAAAATGAAAGAAACAGTTTGACAACGTTTGCTACTGGAATAGTATGGACCTAGCAGGAAGGAATTTGTTCTTTTCAGAAAATCTACAAACATTGGAGAAATATATATACAAGAATAATATGAGATTGCATGACAGAATGAAATGAAACAGGATAAAACATTCAGACTGAAAATATGAACAACAATGAACTTAAAAATGTTGGGACAAAAAAGAAGCAATAACCTACAGAATAAATTCTAGGATATACATTTTTAAAAATATAAGAAGTAGAGGGTGCCTGTAGAAAAAATTATGTCCTCAATACTCAGAGAATAAATTACATTAGATATAGAATTATTAGGACACTTCACAGTTTCAGGAAGCCTTATTCAGTGAAAATGTCAATTACATAAGTCATCTTTCAGTGTTCTGCTGTACATTACATCCAAGGATTCTTTAACTTCAGAACCTGGTGGGTGTTAATATGATTGCTTTCTCTTGAAGCTTTTCTTCTTTGCCCACATATCCTTCAAAGGTAATGTATTATAGAATCCACTGCTCTTATAGACATGTACATCTGCAAGGTTGTATAGTTTCTTTCTAAAATATGCAATTCTGACTAAATACATTTTGGTTATAGAATATTTTAAGCAAAAATTAGGAAGTTATTTAGAAGAAGTGTTTTACATGGGGCTCCAGTAAGTATCTGAACTCACACTATGTGGTAACATAACAGATTTTACACTATATATTTAAGAATAAATGCATATTTTCTTAAAATCTCTTTTGAAACACCACCACAGTCACTTCTGCATAACCAGAGTGGAAAAGCTTTCCCATCCAAGGACTTCCTGGTCTGGAGCATACGAGGCTGAACATGCAGGAAAAGGTGGTCTCTCTACAGCTTTAGAATTTTTATACTGTCATGCATCCTCTTGCACTTACTCCCAACACCAAGCAAGTAACAGGAATGAGGATAAACAAGCTTTTAAGAAAGCTGGGGGTAGGGGAAAGGCAGGCAAAAAACAGAGGTAAAGAAGCATGGCATAACCCTACTGCAGCTTCCAAAGCAGTGCTTGCAAGAACTGGAAATAACAATACAACTGTCTGACAGGATCCTCAAAGCCACACTGTGTATATTCACATCTGATCCACCAGATACTTCCATGGCATAGCAGAGGCTGCACTGGATTCCTCCCCGACCTTCCTGCCAAAAATCTTCTAGTGAGAGTTTAGAGGAAGGCTGTATTTCTTGGCAAGTGTCACTTCTAATTTCCAGTTAGTATTTGTGTCTTTTTTCAGCACTGGCATTCAGCTAAAGTACAAGAACTTATCTGTTTCCCAGCTGGCATGGCTTGAGGTTCAGGAAGATAAGCCGAAGCTTGGGAAAATACTGGGTGACTAAAACATTGATATTCTTCCCCTTTTGGGGTGAAATGAGCAAACAATCTATTACTGGTTCAATCATTATTAACTTACATTTGCATTTTAAAGCAAGCAAAAATGATGCCCTTTGACAGCAATTTATCCCCATATTTTCTCAATGAACAATACAATTTGCTGCCTAGTTTTTCACACCCAAAGAGAAAAAAATTACATTAACAACAAAGAAATGCCTGTTGGCAAATACCTTGAGAAGTAACATCATACTTTTCTGCAGAAACTGATTTAATCTCCATTGTGACTTTATGCAGCAATTCAATTACTTGAACCTGCTTCATGAAATCGTGCAGCATTGCTTTTCCACAGCCCCTAAGGTAGGCTTCAAGGATGACTGCAAACCTCTGTTGGTAGTGCATGGATTGGGCAATTTCGCTTCTTAAGAACCAAAACAGGAAGTGACCAATTCTTTTGTTCTACAGGTAAAGAAAAACATTACAAATTAGCATTCATTTCTTGACAAATGGTTTTAATAATGCCAGCAACTTTAGCATAAGTTGGCTATATTTTGAAGTACTTACTCTCAAACCACGTTTCAGCAAAAATCTGGCTAATGCGCTGTCATGATATGGCTCAAATTTCACAGCCTGAGTGATACAAACATAAAAGAAATGTTGTTAACACACTTAAGATCCCACTGCTTACACTTAACCAGTGACATCTAAACTGCTGCAGGAGTAGAAAATGTGTAACAAAGCAGGTCTTTTTGAGGCTTCTCTGTCTGACTCAAGAAGCACATTTTGTTTGCAACAGGCTCTTTTCAGGTTTATTATTAATGTGACAACTCTCTAACCAGAGAGTCCAACCTGAGCATATGCACAAAGCAATGTCATTCTTGGCAAAAACCAGCAAGATCAGAAACCAGCTTGCAGTATGACTGATACTGAGAATGCTTGAAATGATTACTGACAGATGGAATAATGTGCTTGTAATAGCTCTTAAATTAAATGTTTCAATAATAAAATACAGGTTTTGGTCAACATCCACTACTTCGAGACTAGGGCATCAGGATTCACGGGTGGGTTCCCCAGAAAAAAACAGGATACAGGAGCAGCTTTTCAGAGCACTTACCTGGCCTTTATTCCATAAATGAATGACAGGTTAAAAGCTCTGATACACATCCTACAATAATGAAGTACAATTAAGAGGAAGATTTCACCAGAACATTTTTTTTACTGACTGTGAAAACAGATGTATTTTTCCTCCTTCAAAAGCTGCTCCCCTCCACCCAAGCCCACAGACATTTCCAAGCTACTGCCAAAAAAGGGGGTGGGAGGAGAAAGTCAACAACTATTTTCAAGTGCCAGTATTGAAATTTTTTTGTTGTTGTTATTCTCCATCCCAACAACCAAGTGAATTGGTCTACCAGAAAACCATCACACTTCCAGATTCTGGGTACTACCATGAAACTTCACCACTTCAACTTATTTTTTCAGCAGATTCTTTCACGCTGCTTGAGGAATTCAAGCTTACAGAAGGTTTGTATTGAGATTAATGGTGGAAAAAAGTACGCACTTATATCCCACAGCAACAAAGTAGAAATAAGAAGCATACAATCTATGAATCAGAGTCACAGAATCCCTGTCATGGACTGAGGGGGTTGGTGAATGGCTTCAGGTTCTGGAAATAGAGTGCCAGGAAGCAGCCTGTAGGGAGATTAGGGGAAAACAAAGGGATGTGCAGAGAGCTGGGTGCATGTAGTATGCTCAGCTTTCAGAAGCAGCAAAGTATGCAAACCTCCAGCAACAGTTATTCAACAGAATATAATGGCTCTTTCAAGATCACTGTGGTCTGCAGCTTGCAAAGAAGCAACCAAGCCATCAGCAAAGGTCTGCTAAATTCATCAAACAAATCATAGTTTTATAAACTCTTACAAATACTGTGGCACATAGTTGCATTTTTATTATTAAAATATCAGCATGATTTCTGAAATGCAAATCATCCTGTGGGTTTAATCAAAAGAAAAAAAATTGAGTCAAATTTCCAATGAAGCAACTTATGAAAATGTCACAAAGACACGTTTTTTTCTAGCTGCTGGCTAAGAGACAGACAAGAAAGCTAAGCACCAGACAGACAAAAAAGCCAAGCACCAGACTTGCCCTTCTCCTCTATCATAATTCTGCAAGAACTGTCTTGACTGTCTGCAGTACTGTTTTATATCCCCAAACAACATCATCTTATTTAGGAAAGACAATGAGAATTTACAAATATAACAATATATAGATCCTTTTACTTTGTGTATGAGATTATGAGGTATGAAGGGTTTTTAATAAAAATTAATTTTCACTGCAGTAAGGTGCCCAAAAGCAATAATTATCACATAAATTCAAATGGATTTTCTTACATTTACAAGAAAGCCTATTATAAACCTCACTCTGGTATATACTCTGCCTAATGTTCAAATAACCTTGAAAAACAAGTTAAGACTGAAATACAGCCAAACAACCAACCATTACTTCAAAACAAAACCTCCATATTGAACTTGCAAATATATTTCAACATAAAACAATATTTAAAAATGCATCACGACAATCCTTATTGAGCTGATGTTTTAGATAACTATTTTTAACAATCCAGCCCTTTTTTCTTCACAAAGTCAAATATCAGCTTTTGCACAGCAACAATAAAAGCTGGCCATTAAAACATGTCTGCTGGCACTGACCTGTGTGTACTCACTACCATACACATGCAATGCAGCCATCAGTGTTTATCTTACAAAGAATTTTGTTGCATTTTAACTATCCTATCCATGGTTTATCAACTGTACACAGAAGAACAGACATTATAAGAAGCTCAATAGGTTGATTTATGGTATGGCTGCTTCTATTAGAAATAACCTGTGGGGAAATAAAATATTTGATTTCTAACTCTACAGAGGATAAAATGGGAATATCCTGTGCAGAGTGAAATAAGCCACAGAGCCTTCATAAAGGTGTGTATTTGAAAAGTGACAACCATTTGCAGAAGAGATGCATCCACTGGAGCACAGGAATGGCCGACATCCATTCTCTGAAAAATGTAGATTTTAAATACACTGTCATACCAAAACCTAGCTGCAGAATGCTGACAGCTGATGTTCCATAGTTAGCTAAGAAATAAAGACAGGGAAAGCAGCAGAGAGGTAAAAGTTGGAATGTAGCGTGTTTTTCATTTTTAAGGATGGTAAGCTCATTATTTCTTATAACACCTCTTACTAAAAATGGCACAGCGAAGTTAAGGCACTGTGATTTTATGCTACAATATTTTCTTTAACTGTTAGAAAGGTTTATTCTTTTTAAAACTCACCAGATTTGTACTTCCTGAAAACAAACAATTTTTTTTAAAAAATGGAAACAACCCCCATTATTTCCCCTATTTTCTCAGGCATTCTGACAGCAACCAATCATCACGCCAAACTCCTAATTTAGATACAAAAGAAAAAGGTGAAAAAAATTGCTGAGCCACATGTAGACAGCAAAAGCTCACAAGCCAAGCATATATATAGCAGCAGCAACGTGGGAGGCCCAATGAGGTAACCGCAGCGACTCCTTTGGTTAATGCAGAAGTGCACAAATTCTGCCTCAGCTTCAGACAAGCAAAGACAAGGCTAGAAAGGCTTTGTTTAAAGCACTACCAAAGTGCAGCAAAATCTGAAATACTAACTTCATTTTCCTGGGATTCTGAGCTCTCTCTGAAGCTGCAGAAATAAAAAGCTGCTTCCCCAGCTGCAGTAGTTCCTTTTTAATTTTTTTAAATTTTGAATGTTGTCCTCTGATTCTTTGAAAAAAGTATTTCCTGCTCTGAGGGATACCAGCCTTTCCATGCAAAACAGAGCCCCACCTGGCTCCAGAGGCTGTGCTTACCAGGAAAAATACAAGGTTATACCTTCCATCAGACACCAGAGGAGACTTTGACACTGCCAACTGATGGCATCGTTTTGGGAGAAAAGCAACCAAACCAAGCTTCTTGTGTAACTGATATAAACCTTCCCAATGTTTGATCCGGCTGATGTACACACAAAGTGCTTTAGATCTATACAACAATGATCCTTTGCCATTAGAACCACAATTTTGTACCCAAAATCCCAGAAGGACTTAATCTTAGTATGTAGTCCTACCAGCTCTTGAGCTACTTTCAAAATTTTGGAGGGGGGAGTTCCTAGATGAATTTGCTCCTCTTAACAGCACAAGATTGAAGTCACTGGAACATAGTGAGTAACTACACTGGCGTTCTTGACCTAAAACCCAACCCCAGATTTTGCTTCAGGCCTTGCCCATGTCAACATCTGCATTTATTTTCTTTCTATCTACACTCTTCATAAACTATCAGTAAAGTCAGTCAACAACTCTTGAGAGCTGTGTGATTCAAACCCAACATGAACAGGATTACAGACAGCACAGTTAGGATTTACTCCCATCATAGCTGTGCTGGCATTAACAATTCCCAGAAAATCTTACTGCTGTAAACACAAGGTAAAATTTTTAAGACAGAAGGCAATGCTTCCACAAAAACATCAACAAAGGCACAAGACAAAAAATAGGAAAGTGTATTTTACATTAATCTGGTTACTACCACTGCTTTGACAAAACACCAAAGACTTCAAAACTAAGGAATACTAACAAGACCTGCTAAAATGGGAAATGCAAATTATTGGGTAATGCAATTATATTCCTGGAAGGCAGAGTTCAGGAAAGCAAATACACCTTACCTGCACAAGCTGTAAAAGATAATGAAGAACATCATCATCTTCTAAACTTTCCAGTTTTTGAACTGCCATTGCTCGGACATTTTCATCTGAAAAGTTACAGTCCAGAAGTTGCATTGTGAGTCCAACATCTAAAGTGCTCTGATCCCAAGCCTCTTTTTTAGCCAGCAACTGGTATGTTTTGGCCACTATTTCTTGTTGTCCCCATTTCACAGAGCTAAGCAGCTTAGGATATGCCTTGGGGTGCTTTATGCTCTCATATCTAAAGTGCCACAACAGTTCTTTGTCCTCTGGAGAAAGTGGATTAAGTGGGTCAGTTGCTATGATCTCTTCAAGTTGCTTGCGGAGCTGGTTGGGCATTTCAGCTCGGGTCCTGTCCCCCTGGGGGTCTGATGATATCCTGTGCTTGGGCAAGGCAATCGGGTGACAGTATTTGTCCAGCACAATAGAGATAGCCATTGAGTTTTCTTTATCTGGGTTAGTTGCTGATGTGAGTTTGTCTGCATTTATACTTCCTTGTTCTTCCCCCTTACCAGGAATTTTCCACATGTGGAGCACATACTCCCCACATCGTAGCAAGAAACGGTGATCTATCAGCAAAAGATTTACATAATAGAGAAGCTGGGTTTTGTATTTTGCATCAGAGTTGGAGGATTCATGTGACTGAAGGTTTGTCTTTGCAGATGGTCCCTGTGCTTTGCCACAGTATATCTGAAGATTCAGGAGCGCTCCTTTAGGCAAATCCTTGATTTTGATATCAAACTCCAACCAAATATTCCATAGAACCTCCTCAGTAAAGGGCTTTGATGAAGTTCTTCTCTGTGAAAGGAGCTGCTGCCCATGTTGAATATTAGCCTCTACAAACACAGTAAGATCAGTATTTCTTGGTAAAACTGGGATATCAATGCCAATTATTTTCACTCTAAATTTCCTATTACAATCCCACAAAGAGATAGTGAAGACTCTCTCATGATCTTTTCCATCTATTGTCAATTGTTCATGATACCCTGTAACTCCTGTACAATCATCCACCAAGGGCCATTCCTCCTTCTGAACCTCATCTTCATTCGGGTCTGGGGGATTGTCGAGGACAAGGTGGATTTCTTCCCCATTCTTAAGGCACTGTCTTATCCAGTGAAAATCTTTGATTGGTGTCTCTCCAGTAATGTACTCATCTCTGCCACAAATCCTGAGAACAAAATCCAGTTCACTGTGATCTTCAGGAATATCCATCAAAGACTTTTTCTTTGCCATTTTTGTGAAAAAGCTCTGGAGAATCATATCTGGAGTGTCATCTATTGACACTTTAATTTTCTGACTAGTCGTTCCTCTATGTATGACTATGAAAATATTATTATTAGTGATCTTTTTAAATAAATATTCTGGGAGTGGCTTAGATGTAGTCCATGGGTGCATTGCATATAATTTAGGATCTCTGCAGGCTACCTCTATCATTCGTGGAGTGACTAATCTGCGCCGGGTAAATTCTAGTTCATCATCATGTACATTGCTTACATCAGTGACATCATAACCAATCAAATCATTAAGTTGCTGCTGAAATTCCTGAACTTCTTCTGATGGTTTTTGTTTCTGGACAACATAGATCTTGCCTACCTTCTTCTGTAACACCTTCCAGTACAGTATGCAGTCCAATGTCTGTAACACTTGATGTTTATCATAAATTTCATACCATTGCCCTTTCTTCTGATACTGCAGAATAAACTGATCAGGGGTGAATGCATGGTAGAAGTCTGTGGTTTGACTCGTCTCTATTGCACGCATCCAAACCTGTGCCTTCATTTGCTCCACCGTACAGTTGCCAGCTATTTCAAGTAACATCATTTCTGGTGCTTTCGTGTGTTTATTGCTTGTAGGTAAAATGAACTCAATGGGTATCAGTTCCATGGATGAAAAACTACTCGATGTACAATGAGGTTTCATTCTTCTTCTCCTTCGTTTGTTTTCGTCTCTCATAACAACGGGCTGTTCATGATCCCCCAACTCCATGCCAGAAGAAATCTAGCAAAACATACAATTACTTCATTACTTTCTCATTTACATTTATCTTTTCTCTTACTTTTTAACTTTTCATATACATTTTTTATATTTCCACTTCCCCTTTATTTCTGGTCACAAATACTTGATTTACATGAACCACTTCAGACACAACCTATTCAATTCAATACCAAATAAAAATAAAAAACCTCGAACCAACTCTCCAGTGATTAAGTAATTAAAAAAGAGGTTTTAAACATCCTGCCCAGATTTTACTGAGGATAAGCAGTTCGAATGTGCAATCTCCATATTGATTACTTCTTGCTTCTATTTGATCAAGCACTGACTCTTCTGCTGCCTCATCTGTTTTGTTGCTGCTGATGTTAACATATGTAGGTTTTCACAGAAATCTAACGGCACACTCCTGTATATGAATAGAATGCAGTCCCACTGAGCTCCAGGAATGGCAGAAAGTAACAAAACAAGCAATTTATTTGCAGTCTGGACAGACATGAGCTTATTCCCAGTTTTCTCTGCCTCTCTTTTTAGTGATGAGGAATCAGGATTTCAACCTAAAAAACAGGCCTTAGGATGCAAAAGTCAGGGACTATTTCTGAAGATATATTTAAAGTGCATCTAAATTCATGGCGAGTGTCCTTAGATGTGCTTCTTTTAAATAAATCAATTCCCCAAACTGATAATATCCATCCATTTTCAAAGTACACACTGCCAATATGAACTATTAGTTTGTTACAGAAGAAAAATCTCCCAAGCTGATGCTGATTTATTACCCTATACATCAAATCACACCTAAAACACCAGTAAAACAATATTAAACATGAGTAGCCTACCTTATCAGCATCCAGTAAACAAAAAGTATTGTTTCTCTATACCAGAGTTAATCTCTATTGAAGTTTGAATTAATGTTGAAGTGGAAATTGTTCAGTGCTGACTGAGCGCACTCGCACAAGCCAAGTTACAGCAACATACTGAACTTCTTTACCAAACAACACTTTCTACACATAAAATCCTTAACTGCCGGCGAAAACTAAAGCCAGTGTAATGATGCCCTAGCAGATAATAAAAGAAGCAGATAAAAATATAAAGGATTAAATTCAAACATAGAATGCTAACTAAAATTCTTCTGAGTTCCAGAAAGCAGCGACTGCGGACACATCACCTCTATAATTGACAAAGTACAAGGAAATATTACCTGTTTATAAAACCAAGGCTGAATTGCTGAAGATTATTCATTTGTTAAATTTTTGTAGTTCCTATTTTTTTTAAGGAAGATCATTCACACAAAAGATTTCTTTGTTTAAGCTGTTCTGCTTTTCTTGCTCGGTCTCATACCCAGATGCAAAGGAAGTGCTGCACTTACCAGGAAGGAAGTTTTAACCAAGTTGATTATACATATGATTGCTCATTTTAAAAGAAGTCAGAATGCTTTTCCTGTTACAACAGTAAAAACACACCAACAGTACATAAATTTAACACACACGTATAGAAGACATATTTAGAACCTTTTAAAAATAGCCAAGAATAATCTTGGCAATAAATTGAATTAATTCAAATAAGATATTTAAACCAAATATATTTTTAAGAGATTAACTCCCAAAATAATTAAATATAAATTTTAGATAAAAGACAACTAAATATGCAATGTTGCATTATTTTTATTTGCATGGTGATAGCCATTTAAGGACTCCCAACTTAAATTCACTAGAGCTTTTTAACCCAGTCTCCATACAAGCATCTCCTAGAGATTGTATATGCCAAGGATCTTGCACGGTAACCTCAGCAGCAGAACTACTGGGCAGCCTTACCCCAATTATCTTTAACTCATTCATTTATGATTACAAACACACACTACTAGATCTGAAATCTACTAGAAATGGTGAATTTACATTCAGGAGAACCTAAATCTTATGGTTAATTACAACCTGAGGTGCTGTTCTTTTAGTAAAAAAAAATAATCCCCACAGAAAAAAAAAACTACTATGGAAAACATGTACAAAACAGAAAGAAAAGACAGAAAACTCTCTAATTTCATCCTTTTTGCTTTTGACTTTTCCAGTGAAATACTGATCTTTTGAAGAGCAACCAGCAGTACAAATCCTACAGTGGTGGATATTATGCAAAATGAGGAGTCTTGAAAAGGAGGGAAAAAAAATGAAACAACTGGAAGGTTGTCTACCAACAGTGAAGTGCCTTTTTTTTAACATATGCATGTTTCCTATTTATAAGACACATTTTTATAAAAATGTGAAAAATAACCCCTCCTTCTGTATTGGCAAAAAATCCTGACAGTATCTTACCTGCCTCCAACATGCCAAGCTTGATTAACACTCTGCCAAGATTAAAAAGCAGAAAATACCTCCACCACTGACACAGCTCTTCTCTCTCTGAACATCACTCTGTTTGTCAGCTAAGATCTTCTCTTTTTAGAGGTTATTTTTCTCAGAATGTCAGTTTGGGGAAAACACACTCTGTCTCAGATCCCTCTATCTTTTAAAGCCAGTATTTGAATTTTCTTAAGGTAGTGGTGAAGTTATCCTGAACATTTTGTTGCTGACATGAAATCTACCCATCCTGGCCAAGACACCTCCAAAACTCACGCTCCACCCACATTCAGCCTGTCAGCATTTATCAGTCACAGCCTTTGTGGCATCTCAGCATTACACACTGAGCTCCTCTCTCATCTCAATTTTAAAATACAATGTAGTCATATTTTTCTCTTCATTTAGACATAAGAAACTAGTATTAAGGTTTTTTTTTCACACCAACAGGCTATACAGATTTTTTGCAGAGTCCTTCCTCTAAAAGTCATTGTGCCGCCCCATTAACTAAACCTAGAGTCATTTCAGTTTCATTGGGTTCTGCAGATCTAGGAAAACCTTGTGGTTTAAAATGTCCTCAGCCTGCTCCTTGAGTCATGCACTTAAGGATTAATTCTTCAAACATACATACATACATACAAACAGCTTTTCTACCACTACTCCATAGATCAAGGCCAGCAAGTCAAGCAAAGGCAGCATCTCTTCCTCATGCAGCAGACCTGTACATTTCTCAGCGAATGCAATTCTTTCACACTCTCATCCACTTATAAAGGCAGGTAGAGCAACACTTCTGTGGGTTCAGATATCCCCCCACAATTTGCATCAGACACAGCACAAAAATGTGTGGCACTTCTGTAGCTGCCTTGACCTTACTAGGCTGTCTTTTCTCCTGCATTCATTTGGGCTGTGACCTGTAATGGCTAGTCCATTCCAACCCAATATCCATCCCCAGTTCTGCTCTGATCCCTTTTCCTCAGCTTCAGAAGGCAGTTCTTGGAGCGACAGCTGTCTCTCATCTGTCTCTGCAATGATCCATTCTTATGGTGACACCAAATTGTATCCATTTCCTGCTAATCCATTGACAAAACCACATTTCCTCATGTACATGAACAATAAAACTTTGATATTTATAATGAAAAATCATTTACATCAAGTTCCTAAAACCTTAGTCATGCCTAAGCTTTACCTACAGTATTGATACTTCAAGAATTCTACTGCAACAACACTCCAAAAAAAGGGAAAAAAATCACTCTGCTTTATTTCTAATTCTAATGAGCCTCCTCAGTCCTGAATATTCCTGTATTACAAGAACTGTCCTACTAGTCTAAAAATCCAGATGGGGTCCAATGGAGAAGGAAAAGATAAGCCTGTAAAGGGTAACTAAGACAAGCAACCAGTTTTCCCTTTGTCTCCATTGTGTTCCTATCTCATCACTCAGGTCAGCAACCCGATCATAACAAAACCAGCAAAAAATTTGTTAATTTTCAGCTGGATTAGTTCCTTTATCTGACTCAACACTTGCAGGAGTGGTTGGGCAGTGATGGAAGAGAAGGAAAGGGAATGGAGCCAGTACAGTTAAGCATAACTGAGACTGAAACATGATTCACAGCAGGATTAGGAGATAGTCTAATGAGTAAAGTCTAAATTATTTGAAAAAACTGGCTGAAAGGTACTTTAAAAAGACAATGTAGTATTATGATGTAGTACTTATTTGGCTACAAAAAAATTAGGATAGCTGTCAATCTTGACTGCTCTGTTAAGACTATGTTGGAATTCTACCAGTTACTATCATGCTTATTCTGTATTTAGCTCCTGCTTCTGTTTTAATCCATCATGCAAAAACCTTATTTCAAAATTATTCTTTTCACTTTAGTGTGAACCCCATCCCAGACAACTTAACTTTCAAGAAAATAAGCACTCTCTACCAGAGTTAGAATTACCTTGTGCATGCTTATGTAAATACAACTCTAAAGCTTACATTCACAGTTTTAGACAAAGTTCACTTGAAAGATAAATTTTAAAAACCAAAATTACTATGACAAGATTCAACGTTTTCCAAGCAGCCTTGCTTGGAGCATCTACTTCCCCACACTGCTGTGCAGCAGGAGATGATTTTCCACTTGCTGGACAGGAGTACATCTTCCCTACATCTGCAGCGATCCAGTGCTGAACTTCACAGGTAAGATACAGCGCCAACATTTCAAGTGTGAACACAACAACAAAATACCTTGACTCAGTTTCTTTGTCAGACCCTCTAACAACTACAAGTTCTAATAGGAAATAAATCAGTGCAGGTTCCCATTAGCAAGTAAACCTCAAAGGTAATGCAGCCACATTCCTCATCAAAAGTATATGAGCCAGCAGACACAGCCTGGTCGGGAGGCTGGGGAGTCATTCAGACTGCAATTACAGACAGCAATTATAGCATTTTCAGGATGCCCTGCCTTCACCACCTTTAGTTTCTATATGAGTTATCTATTCGGGGCTCCTGGGACAAACAGTAACTCCTAGCCGATTCTGTAAATTTAGGTAAGAATTTTGGCAAAGTTGACTGGGGTTACACAAGTGATGTATTAGTAATCTCAAAGTAATCCACCTTGGAAGAACACTTCGCAGAGTTTTAAAACCCAGAGATCGCTGCTATTGTTTTTGCCAGGACACACTATTTAGACAGTGCCTGTCAACTCGTTCTCGGTTTTCCAACACTGCTTTTTAACTCTGTGATCTAATCTACACCAGCAACTCCTGAATGCCCTCAGCTATTATTTCAAGGGCTTGTGGTGTGGACAGGTTTCATGGTCTACATGCATCAGATAGACACAAGAAATTTATTGGATGAGGAAACAGTTACTTATTGTTTAAAAGCCGTGTTGTAGCGTAGCTGACTAACTGATCTCAAAACTCGAGAGAACTGTCTACTGAAATCCTTCACTTGGCATTGTTCCATTCACCGTTCCGCTTCCTCAGCGGGTTTGGCACCAAACTCGTTAACTCCTGTTCGGGCCATGACGTGAGGCGGGACCAAGGCCGCGAGGGACCGGGCAGCACGGGGGACGGGGCAGCACGGGGGGCTCGGCAGTGCCGGCTGCGGCGGGGACAGCGGGGCGCCCCCGGCCAGCAGCACGCCCTGCGGAAGGGGCTCCGCGCACGGGGCACGGGAGGCGCCGGCGGCCGGGGCCGCCTCCCTCCCTCCCTCCCTCCTTCCCTCCCGCCCCCGGCCCACCGCCCCGGCCCAGAGATGGCGGCCGGCGCCGCCCGCGGGAGGGCGAACCTCGTCCCCCCGCCCCGCCGGGGCTGCCGGGGCCGGGGGCGCCCTGTGGCGGGCGCGGGGCCGGGGCGGGTCCGCCCGCGGCCGGAGCGGGGAGCGGAGCCGCGGCACCACCTGCGAGCCCGGGCCTCGGGCAGCGCCGGCCCGGGGCGGGATCCGCCGCGACCCCCGCTGCCCCCGGCGCGGAGCTACTCACCGCAGCGGCGGCCCCGGCTCCGGCCCCGGCTCCGGACAGGTGTTTCCCTCAGCAGGAAGCGGCGCGGGCCGGGGGCCGGCGGGGAGGCTCCATAGCCGGCGGCAGAGGCAGCTCCGCAGCCGCCGCCAATCACACGCCGGGCAAAAAGGGAACCAGCAGCGGGGCCTCCCCGCCCCGCCCGGCTCCGCCGCCGCCCCGGGCACCCGGGCCCGGCCCGGCCCGGCCCGGCCGCATCGGCCGGAGCGCGCACGGACGGACCCTCAGCAGGGGTACAAGCGCTGCGGCCGCGGTGAGCACAAGGCGCGCAGGACGTGTCCCGGTGTCAGCTCCGGCAGCGAAACCTCCCTGGGCGCAGCTTCCTGAGGTGCTCCTTGCCCAGGGCCCCACGGCCGGCTTGCCCATGGCACTCCTGCAGCGACCCCCGGCTGCCCGGCCAGCCCTGACAGCTCCTTCAGCCCCACACCTCAGGGCAGGGACAAGTTAGTTGGCCTGAAGTGGCCTTGAAAACCCCTGGAGAAGGCAACCTACTCCAGCGTGGTGGTCTTCTGCTTAGCAAAGATTTTCATGCTGTCTGATTAAAATTCTCGTCCTACAGACTGAGCATCTTGCTTGTCTTATTCCTCTTATTCAGTTAGGGCGTTTTCTTCCTCCCTTCCCTCCAACTACTTTCTTGTTTGAATTTGCTGTGTTAACTGTTTTTCTACTATTTTTCCATCTCCAGACTGGCAGTCCTGGATCTCTCTTTTTAGGTCA